CCCAGGACACTCACTTCCCTGGGAGCCACCAGGGATCAGCCCCATCTAGTGGGTCTGCCTGGCCTTGGGGAGGAGCTGAGGTCTCTGCCTGTGGATGGTTTCAGGGTGTCAAGGTCAAGGGCCTCATCCTCATCAACCCCCAGAATCCTCTGGGGGACATCTACTCCCCGGGAGAGCTGCAGGAGTTCCTGGGATTTGCCAAGAGGTGAGTCCCCCGCAGTAGGTACTGGGTCCATCCAGGCTCTGGGGTGGGCTCTGCTACAGGCCCTGCGCCCTCTCACCCCATCATGGGCTTCTACCTGCCTTGGCCTCTCCCTGGCAGCGCGGCAATATGAGGGTAGGGCTTTGCTGGATTCCATTTCTCTCTGTTTCATGTTATTTTTAAAATTAAGCTCTTTGTTGTTGTGGAGGTGCTAGGGATTGAACCCAGGGCCTTACACGTGCTAGGCAAGTGCTCCACCACTGAGCTTCATTCCAGCCCTTTTCAAAGTTTTATTTAAGACAGGGTCTGGCCAAGTTGCCCAGGTGGACCTTGAACTATCCTCCTCCTGTCTCAGCCTCCTGGGTGCTGGGATTACAGGGGTTGCCAGTGCACCCAGCATCTCTTCCAGGTGATAGTAATGGCTTCACTCACTGCACGGCCCAGCCCTTTGCTTGCTGTTTCTTTTAATCCTTATAACGACTCCATAAGAAATAGACACTTCTTGATCCCAGCCCTGGGATCTCTGGAGTGGACACGTCAAGAGTCGGGCCAGATTTGAATGTGGGTCCGTCTGCCTTGAGCCTCCTCCTTAACTGTTCCTCTCCAGGGAGGACCCGAGGTCAGGCTCTCCCTGACAGGGCTTCAAGCTCCTCTCCCCTTTGCTTTGTAAGGCTGCTTCCTGCTTGAGAAAATAGGCAAAAGGAGGGTGTTCCTGGGGAAAACGGGTCTGGACACCCTGGGTAGGCGGGTCCCTCTGGGCTGTGACACGCTGCTCCCTGGAGCACATGTGGCTGTAGCATGTGGCCCAGCTCTCCTCCCGCCCTCTGCTCGCGGCAGGCACTCGCTGCACGTGATCGTGGATGAAATCTACATGCTGTCCGTGTTCCAGGAGTCGCTCGAGTTCCGCAGCGTCCTGAGCCTGGAGAGGTGAGGCTGCTGGGCTCCGCTGACCGCCAGCCCCACTGGCCTCTCATGGCTGGGCCCACAGGGTGTGACCTGGCCAGGGCCATGCTGCTCACACCTAGCTGACCCAAGGGGTCCTCAGGCCCCAAGAAGGTGGTGGCTGGGCTGCATCCGTGGGTTTGAGATTGTTCTGTGGAGACCCTGAGACCTCCAACCCGGGGCCCTAGGACTCCAGAGGGCACATGGGAAACTGGCTGCTGGCCGTTCCTTCGTGTCCAGTGGAGCGGCGGTTCCTCCCCCCTCCCTCCATCCCTCCCTCCCTGCCTCCCTCCTTCTTCCTTCCTCTCATTCATGGAGCAAATAAGTGCTTTGGGCTCTTTAAATTCGTGGCCTTATCCATTAGATTGCGTCTGAGCACAGAATTTATAAACAAGATACCTTGGACACACTTGGACCAGATCGTCTGCGAAGTCTGTAATCTGACCCCGAGGCAGGATGACAGTTCCTTGCTGTTCCTACCGACTTTTCTGCCCTGCTGTGGGCTTTCTGTCACTTGTCTCTCAAAAGCTCTGTGAGGACGATGGCATGTGGAGTGTGACTCCCATTCATTTTATGCATTAGCAGAGTGAGACACAGAGAGAATAGAGATTTGCCCATGAGCCTTGGGTAGTCATGGGAACAATATCTATGGGGCGTCTCTCTTGGTCTGGCCCTGTGCTAGTGCTGGGGGACATCAGTGATCGACCAAGACCTTGTCCCTTCTCATGTAGAACCTTTGATAAACCCCAAACCCTAGCAGCACAACACCCAGGTAGTCATTTTGACCTCGGTGGTGGCAAGTGCTAAATGGAGAATTGTGGGGAGCTCTGGGATGGCCTGCTGGGGTACCCCACTGGCTGGAGTGTGTTGGGAGGTCTTTGAGGAATTGACACTTGAGCTGTGTTCTAGATCAGAAGTTGGCAAATTTCTCCTCTAAGGGGCCAGATGGTACACAAATTTAAGGCTTCACAGGCCTCATGGCCTCTCGCTCAACTCTGTCGTGCACATTCTGTCAGCCAGTGAGCGCGGCTCTGACCTGATGACTCGTTATTTAGGAAAACAGACCCCAGGTAGATTTTCCTGCAGGCTGTTGTTCGCTAACCCTGCTCTAAAGGATGCACAGGAATTGGTGGTTCTGAGAGATGAAAACAGGGCCAGGACCCAGGACCAGATCCATCCATCCATCTCCTCATTCGTTCGTGGAAATGGGCCTGGGTGCCCTGGTTCTGGCTGCCTCTGTTCCCACACTGTGCCCTCTGCAGGCTGCCTGACCCCCAGAGGACCCACGTACTGTGGGGCATGAGCAAGGTGAGTGTCTGGCTGGCTGCGGGGAGTCGGAGAGATGGGAGGCATACAGGTGGGTGGAATCAGCTCCCTCTGTGGAGGGTGGCCACAGCCTCGGCTGTCTCTTCTTGCAGGACTTCGGGATGTCTGGGCTTCGCTTTGGCACGCTGTACACAGAAAACCAGGACATCGCCACCGCTGTGGCTTCCCTCTGTCGATATCACGGCCTCAGTGGCCTGGTCCAGTACCAGGTGGCACAGCTGCTCCAGGACCATGGTGACTGCCTGGGTTTGGTGTCCTGAAACGGGGGGCGGGGGAGGGTTATGGTCTGTCTCAGGCCCTCCAGGTTTCAGTGGCTGTATCCTGCTTGCAGGTTCAGAAAGCCAGGTCAGATGGCAAAGGGAACTGCCATGGCCACCATTTACTGAGCCCTGCAGGTGTTCTTGCTGTATCTCATTTGTCCCTCCCCTGGACCCTAGGAAGCTCAAATTCTTGTATTTTCCTCATCATTTTACAGATGAGGAAAAGAACGACCAGATACCCCACATCCACAGGAACACCTAACATTGTTAAAAACACAGGCAACATAACCGGCTGAGCAGGCGGCACAGCAGCTGGAACTCTCATGCATTGCTGTGGGGGATTCAGGTGGTTCAGCCACTTTGACAGCCATTTGCCAGTTTCTCATAAAAACACTGACCAAGCCACCCAGCCATCCCACCTCTAGATAGTGCACACACATGCACGCAAAAACCCACGTGGAAACTGAGCTGGAAACAATCTGGTTGTTCTTCCCTGAGTGAGGGGTATAGACACCACCACATGGGCACATCCACGCCATGAAGTGCTTCTGCAGTAAGATCCCCGACAGCACAGATTTATCCTGGAGGTGTTAGGCTGGTGAAGGAAGCTAGTCTCAATGGATTACATACCATAACGCTCCACTTCCTGGGCATTTTGCAAAAGGCAAACTAGAGTGATGGAAGCAGATAAGGTTGTGGGGCAGAGGCCAACGTGGCTGTAAGTGGCATGAGGGTGTTTTCTGGAGTGAGGGAACCATTTCTAATCCTGCCTACGGTGGTAGGCACACGAATACATAGATGGGTGATCATCCATCAGTGCCTCGCTGGGATCTGGCCCTTGGTCTGTGTGGCTCCGAAGCCTCACTTTGTAACCAGGTACATCTTCGGTTTGCTCTGCATCCTGAGGGGCTTTGTGCTCTGGGCTCCTACTGGGTGTGTGGAGGCTGGAGCTGGAGGCCTTAGGGTTGAGGGGGGCCTTACAGGGACCCCTGAATTCCCGCCCTCCTGATCCTCTCTCTTAGACTGGATCAACCGCGTGTACCTGCCTGAAAACCTTGCCCGGCTCAAGGCTGCCCACACCTACGTCTCGGAGGAGCTCAGGGCCCTGGGGGTCCCCTTCCTGAGTCGTGGGGCAGGCTTCTTCATCTGGGTTGACCTGAGGAAGGTGAGCTGGGGTGCAGGCTGGCGGGGCGCAAGCCTCCTTCCAGCAGGTGAGAGGCCTGGGGGTCTCCTCTGTGTCCTGAGCCTCTACCCACCCCTTTCCAGTACCTGCGCAAGGCCACCTTTGAGGAGGAGATGCTGCTGTGGCGCCGTTTTCTGGACAATAAGGTGCTGCTGTTCTTTGGCAAGTTCTTTGAGTGTAAGGAGCCCGGCTGGTTCCGCGTGGTCTTCTCAGACAGGCTCCACCGGCTTCGCCTGGGTGAGCAGCCACCTGTCCCCGCCCCTCGCAAGGGTTTTCTGGTCCCCACCTGTGCAGCACCAGCGCTCACAGCCCTCACTTCTCCTTCTCAGGGATGCAGAGGGTCCGGCAGGTGCTTGAGAGCAACCCCAAGTGACAGAGGAAGCCCCTCTCTGGCAGGCCCGGGAGCCCAGGACCAGGGCAGATGGGCTGCTCAGTGTCTGGTCAGCAGCCACTGCCTCCCACCTGGACCACCTGGATCAGGGCTGCAAGACGGGCTGGACTTGCCCCGAGGACCTCTTTCCTGCCCGTCTGGGTGGCAGCAGGAGACTCCTTAAGCCGAGCTTCATCTTGGCCATTGCTGTCCCCTATTAAAGAACCTGGGACCCCCTAGACGTCTCTGTGTCTCTGTCGTGAGTCATTTGTGGAACAGGGGAGTGGAGAGGGCTCCTGGCCACCGCCCTCAGCTCCAGGAGGAGGGCAGAGCCCACAAGCCACCTGGACCTTCTTGGAGATGGCGTCTGCATGCTTCTTTGTTGCCAGGAAAACAAGCCAGAGGAGCAGTGCACACAGAGTACGCCAAGAAGGAAAAGGAAGTGACAACCTGCTAGGGGAAGGGGGCGAAGTCAGTCTGTTCAGATCTGAGCACATCAGGAACCTAGTAAGGTCTCAGCTGGGGACCAGTGGACAGGACCCCAAGGTGGGAGTCAGGAGGGGCTCCTCAATGGGCATTGAAGTGGCCTCTCAGGATTGGGGACTGGAAAGTAGCTGGTTTCTCTGATGTCTCCAAAGCAGAGTAGCTCAGCAATGGCTATGGGGGAGTTTGGGGACTGGAACCCAGAACTGAGGCTGCCATGGCACTAGGCTGACCAAGGATGACCCGCCTGGCTAAGTGGACCCGAGGTTGCCTGTCCCACCTGCAGGTGTGCTTTAGTTGAGAGCCTAAATGTGCTTTCTGATCCTCAAGCTGTGTGCTGAGGAGCTTCTCAGCTGCCCACACCCCTGCTGAGGAAAGCTGACTCAGCTGGGCACAGAGTGCTCGCCTGTCCTCCCTGCTACTCAGGAGGCTGAGGCAGGAGGATTTCCTGAGCCATGAGTTCAAGGTCAGACTAGGAAACAATGCAAGAGACCACTTCAAAAAGACAAAGAAGAAAATGTGGACTCTGACTCTTAACTTCTTTAAGACAAAGAAGTGAAACCAGTACTTCTATTTTCTAATCCATGTTATTTTTTAGTTTCTTTTCTCCCTCTGTTTTGATCTGCCACTCAGTCACTCCTCATTCTTCTCCCCTGTCTTTCATGGAATACTGAAGGTGTGGGGACCCGACACTGGGGGAATCTCATGCCTCATTTCTGACTCACAGTCCTCGGGAGCTGACCCCATTGTCCTCCATTTTCACAAATGGGAGACTGAGTTTAAAGAGAGTGACCGATGGCTGAATTGTCACAGAGCTCCAGCCTCAGAGTCAGGTGCAGGCAGAGTTGGTTTGGGTTGCAAGCTGTGCTCTTTCCAGGTACCAAACCAACTCTCAGCATCGGTTTATTTCTCTGTTCTCTCTTATTTATTTCCGGGATTTTAAATTATCTTCCTCTACTTTTTTGTAAATTATATATCCTGTTTCTTTTCCTTCTGGTTGTTAGCCTATATACTATAACACATATGTATAACTTCTAGTCTAAAATTGGTACCTTTACCCTTCTTCCAAAAACAAGAGCCTTAGAATACCAGTAATCTTTTGTAAACTATGATCCCTGGATATTTTTGTTGTCTATTTTGTTTTAGTATTTTTTTAGTTGTAGTTCGACCACGATACCTTTATTTTATGTATTTTTTTTTTATGTGGTGCTGAGGATTTACCTAGCGCCGCACATGTGCTGGGCAGACACTCTACTTCTTTGCCACAACCCTAGTCTCTTTTGTTGTCTATTTTAATTCTGCCTTTTAACTGCAAAATCTTGCTTTACATTGGCAGTGTTTGCTTGGATTTGTCACATATTCATTTCATCTATCTAGGTCTTTTGTTTTGGGTCCCTTTCCTTCTGTCTGGTGAATGACACTTGAATATCCTTTGGTGGGGCTCTTAGCTTTTGCTTCTTTGACATGTCTCTACTTTACCTATTTTTTTTTTTTGCTTCAATCTGGTAAAAGAAACAATCCAATAGGATAGAAATTATAAATATGTATGCCCCAAACATAGGTGTATATAATTATATAAAAAGACACTACTCCAATGGAAGCATCAGGTAGACCCCAGTATAATAATTTGGTGATTACAATTCATCTCTATCACCATCAGATAGACCATGCAGACATAAACTCAGAAAAGACTCTTTAGACCTGAAAAATATTATAAATCAAATGGATTTAACAGACATCTATAGAACATTTCATCCTACAAGAACTGAATATGCTTTCTTTTCAGTGATTCATGGAACATTCTGCAATATAGACCATATTCTAGTTTACAAAAAAATTAGCAAATATGAAAAAAATTTCCTTTCTCTTATCATATCATAATGGAATGACATTAGAAATAAAAGAAAAACAGCCAGGTGGGATAGGGCACACCTGTAATCTCAGTGGTTAGGGCACTGAGGCAGAAGAATTGTGAGTTCAAAGCCAGCCTCAGCAAACGAGAGGCCCTAAGCAACTCAATGAGACCCTGTCACTAAATAAAATACAAAATAGGGCTGGGGATGTGTACCAAAGGGGGAAAAAAAAAAGAAATCAACAAAACAAAATCCTATGAAACTTGAACAATATGAGATTGAACAATATGCCTTTTGAATGATGATGGGTAATAGAATAAATGAAAGGAGAAATTTAAAAATTCTTAGACTCAAATGATAATAATGACAGAATATATCAGAACCTTGGGGACACTATTAAGGCGATTGTAAGGGGAAAGTTCATCCTATGAGTACCTACAGGAAAAATCAGAAAGATCCCTAATAAACGACCTAATAATGGAGCTCAAGTTCCTTGAAACAGAAGAATGAACCAATTCCAAAGCCAGTTGAAGGAATGTTGCAATTAAGATCAGAGGTGAAATCAATGAATGTAATAAAATATACAAAGGATCAATGAAACAAAGAATTGGTTTTTGGAAAAGGTAAAGATTATTAATAAGTCCCTAGCCTAACAAAATAGAGAAGGCCCACATTTACAAAACTGTGATGTAAAAGGAGAAATCAATACATTCTCACAGAAATCCAGCATATCATTCAGGAATATTTTGAAAACTTACACTCTTATACATTGTAAAATCCTCAAACAAATTGTGACATTTCTGACGAATGAAATCTTCCAAGACTGAGTCCAGAGGACATGGAAAACCTAAACAGAAAAAGAAATGAGATAAAAGCACCAATAAAAAAATCCTTCCAGGAAAGTAAAGGGAATCCCCGATGGACTCAGTGAATTCTACATACATTTAAAGAATAACATCAATACTCCTTAAATTATTCCATGAAAGAGAAATAAGTGGGATACTTCCAAATTCATTCTATGAAACCAATATTTACATTCACACCAAAACCACATAATGATACATCAGGGAAAGAAAACTACAGAAAAATACCCCTCATGGACTTAAAGCAAAAAATACTAATAAAATATTAGCAAATCATGTTCAACAATACTTTACCTCATAAAGAAGTTTATTTTGTTCCATAAATGCAAGGATAGTTTAATGTAAACCAAACATAATTCATCACATAAATAGATTGAAGGACTTAGTCATCTCAATAGAAGAGGAGAAGGCCTTGACAAAATTCTGCACTCGTTTATGATAAAAAACAGGAAAAATCTAGGAAGAGAAAGAGCTTACCTCAAGATCAATAAGGCTATTTAAGAAAAACCCAAAACCAACCTCATAATAAATGTGAAAAAACTGAAAGCATTTCCTTTAAAATCTGGGACTAGACAAGGATGGCCAGTCCCACGAATTCTATTCAATACAAAGCTAGAAATTCTAGCCAGATCATTTTTGCAAGAGTAGTGAATTAAAAGTAGGAAGGCAAAATGCACACTATCTCCATTTGCAGATGATATGATCCTGTACGTAGAAGACCCAAAAACTCCATCAAAAGGCTGCTGGTGCTAATAAACAAATTTAGCAAAGTTGAAGTTTCCAAAATTATCATACAAATAATGAATGGCCTTTCTATACACCAATAACTATTCTGCTGAGAAAGAAATTAGAAAAATAATTTCATTCACAATAGCCTCAAAAATTACCTAGAAATAAATCCAACCAAGGATGTGAATGATCTCTACAATAAAAACTATAGAATATTGAAGAAAGAAATTGAAGATGACTTCAAAATGAAAAGACACCCCTTGTTCATAGGTAGACAGAATGAGTACCATAATTAAAGTAGGTATATGATTCTTATCTTTAAGTATCTTGATGTGATGGATTATATTTATTGATTTCTGTATGTTGAACCAACCTTGCATCCATAGGATGAACCCCCATTGATCATGGTGCACTATCTTTTTGATATGTTTTTGTATTTGATTTGCCAGAATTTTATTGAGAATTTTTGCATCTATGTTCATTAGAGATATTGTTCTGAAGTTTTCTTTCTTTAATGTGTCTTTGCCTGGTTTTGGAATCAGGGTGATATTGGCTTATAGAATGAGTTTGGAAGTGTTTCCTCTTTTTCTAGTTCACAGAATAATTTGAAGAGTAAACGTATTAGTTCTTAATAGGTCTTGTAGAACTCAGCTGTGTATCCATCCAGTCCTGGGCTTTTCTTGGTTGGTAGGCTTCTGATGGCACCTTCTATTTCATCACTTGAAACTGATCTGTTTAAATTGTGTACATCATTCCGATTGATTTTGGGAAAATCATATAAGTCTAAAAATTTGTGGATGCCTTCGATATTCTCTATTTTATTGGAGTACATGTTTCCAAAATAATTTCTAATTATTATCTGTATTTCTGTAGTGCCTGTTGTGATATTTCCTTTTTCATCATGTATGTTAGTAATCTGACTTTTCTGTCTCTTTCCCTTTGTTAGCATGGCTAAGGGTCTGTCAATTTTATTTATTTTTTCAAACAACCAACTTTTTGTTGTGTCAATTTTTTCAATTGTTTCTTTTGTTTCAATTTCATTGATTTCCCCTCTGATTTTTAATTATTTCCTACCTTCTACTGCTTTTGGTGTTGATCTTATTCTAGACTTTTCGATGTAATGTTAGGTCATTTATTTGTTGACTTTTTCTTCTTTAAAGGAGTGAACTCCATGCAATGAACTTTCCTCTTATAACTGCCTTCATAGTGTCCCAGAGATTTCGATATGTTTTATCTGTGTTCTCATTTGCCTCTAAGAATTTTTTAATCTCCTTGATATCTTTTGGAACCCATTATTCATTCAGTAGCATATT